GGGACATTCTTTGTTCCTGAAGCAATGTAGGATGGTTTTGATATTACAGCTTCTAAAAAGCTTGGCATAAAAACTCAAGAGCTTAAATATGAGGAAATGAAGTCAGCTCTGTAATTGCCTCAGCATCTATTTCAAACAATACATGAGAAAAGAATTATTGGGTTCATATCACAAAACCTAGGAAGGAAAGAAGTGAAATCGTGTGTTGGAGAAGGTTAAAACACATAGCTAGTCTGGAACGTTTATGCCTGAAACTCTTTGACAGGATGCTATATTTTTATGTTCTGTGCTGTGAGAGGATAATCCTGGTGGGCCCATTGCAGCTACTCTAATAACAAGTGTCCAATTTTGTATTAGCCTACCACACATAGCTCTGATGCAAAGGATTTCTTCTGACTTCTGCTTATGTGGAAACTTCCAATCTTGCTTCTGCAATCTTGTGTTTTCTAGTTTGCTAGTACAGCTAAAAATATGAAAAACACTCCTAAAGTTAATGAAGTTCTAGATGATGAGGCCCTTCTGAAGAGGTATCGTAAAGAAATAGAAAACTTGAAACGCCGCCTGGAAGAAGTAAGTCTTCTCTTCAATTAGAAGCACCCCTACCAAACCAGGGATAGGCAGACTGGTTCTCCAGATGTTACAAACCTACATGTATTCATGAAACAGGGCTTCAAATCTGAATCTATAGAATTGACTAAGAATCTGGATAGGGGAAATTCTATGGAGACAGGGAAAAGAGAATCAATGGCAGACTCTATGGTGCTTGTACTGGTGATGCTGGGCCAAAAGATGGATGAGGAGTGATAGTTTTGTAATCATATTTGCCCAGACTTTCCCATCATTTTCATTAAGAAGGAGAATAGTTGTACCAGCTCCAAAATTGGTATAGCTTTCCCCATTTGCCAGAGAAGAGAAGGGCTGCAAGTCCTTTGATTCCCCTCTTTCCAGCCCTCACCTCCGTAAGGGGTGTTGGTGGTGTTGAGTTTATTCCAGTAGAGAAGATCCAACAGTAGACTTCCCCTCCCTTGATTTTTTTAATTATTCTGTAACCCACCTCAAGCCACAAGGAGAGGCGGATAAGAAATAAAATTATCATTATTATTATTATTATTATCATTATCATTGAGCCCCCGGTGGCGCAGTGGGTTAAACCCCTGTGCCGGCAGGACTGAAGACCGACAGGTCACATGTTCGAATCCGGGGAGAGGCGGATGAGCTCCCTCTGTCAGCTCCAGCTCCTCATGTTGGGACATGAGAGAAGCCTCCCACAAGGATGATAAAAACATCAAATCATCTGGGCGTCCTCTGGGCAACGTCCTTGCAGACGGCCAATTCTCTCATACCAGAAGCAACTTGCAGTTTCTCAAGTCGCTCCTGACACGATTAAAAAAATTATTATTATTTAGAGGGAGGCCTATAATAATCTTATTGCAACCTTAAGAAAACTGCCAGAAAATCAGTGCCACCCTAGCAGTTGCTCACATGGGATTGGAAAAACTTCTTTGACCACTGTATATACTCGAGTATAAGCGGACCTGAATATAACCTGAGGCACCTAATTTTACCACAAAAAACTGGAAAAACTTGTTGACTTGAGTATAAGCCAAGGGTGGGAAAGGCAGCACCTACTGGTAAATTTCAGTAAAATTACCATATATACTTGACTATAAGCTGACCCGAATATAAGCCGAAGGGCCTTTCTCAGTCTAAAAATTGTGCTGAAAATCTCAGCTTATATTCGAGTATATACGGTAAATCTCTCAGAGGTGTAGATACTCCCAACATTGAAAATGTGGACTCTTTGGCCAATGACATGGATGTATTCATTTTTAGGTCTCAACCCACTCTCACACCAAAGACGAACTTGCTCAGTTGCTGGAGGAGAAGGACTCGCTTCAAAAGCAGCAGGAGGACAGGATCAGAGCCCTGACAGAGATGCTTGTGACAGCGTCTTCTTTTTCACAAGAGCTAGAGGCAAAAGTAAGGAGGGGAAACTGAAATTCTGTACTTACTCTTGAATCAGAACTTGGGAAAGTGTCTTACTTTTATCAGTTGTAATACTCTGAACACTTTTGTTTAGATTACTGAGAAAGAAGTGTGTTCTGCCATCTTTAGGGAGGATTGAGCAGCACATTTTCCAGGTGATTCTCAGGCCAAATAATTAATATACCCTTTTCTTGATTTCACCTCCTTTTTCTTCCTAATGCATGAGGAGTGATACCTTTTTCGTATGATATTAGTACACAGCTATGAATAATTAATCATATAGTATAAATATTTTGTTATGTGCTGTCAAATCAACTTAGTCTTATGGTGATCCTGCAAATGAGGCCTTCAAGATACTTATTTCATTTGAACCCTGTGTCTATGTGTGTGCACATCTGCATTGGTGTGTAAGCTTTAGCAATGGAATTGTAGTAACAGTTGGCAACAACTTGGATTTCCACAGCTTCAGCACACAATGAAAATACAATTAGCAGCTGGCTCTATGCATTAAGGATGTGCTGTTCTATTGACAATGGTAGCTGGGAGCACAGTCTCTTTCAAATCCATATTTTCTGGTGCCTGTTCTCTTGTAAAAGGAGTTGCTGTCTTTTCCTTAGTACCTTTCACAATTTGCTTTTCACAGTCCCCATGGAGCATGGCCAATGAAATGAAGCAAATTGTAATCCAACACATTTGAAGTTCTTCAAGTTGGGGAAAATTATCAAAGTTGGTTGAAATTATCTGTTTCCCTTGAGCTTTGCACTTATTTAAATGCAATAGTGCTCCCTCTTGGTGAAATTCTGGACACATGATTGATGAATCGCAGTGAACGCAAATTATTATAAATGAGAATTCTTCTCTTCTTCTTTGCTAGCCTTAGTTGAGCTTTGTAGTAGGCTTTTACAAGCATTTACTTTATATTTGTAATTATCCTGTCTGTTGGAATTGTCATCCCATCCAGTGAGTTACCATCACCAAATTATAGATAAAACTTAATATTAAAGAGTTTGCTTTAATTATCCTACATTTTTAATATACACATTTGTGGGTGGTTTAAGAGATTCACTTTAAATATATAGGGGTTTATATTCATAATTTTCTATTTATTTTTCCATTTGAAGGCTAAAAGGAAGAGGAGAGTAACATGGGCTCCAGGAGCAATAAGCAAAGAAGCAGGGGTGTGCTTCTTAGAAGACCTCCCTAGTAGAGAAAAACGGAGTAAATTTTCATTGCCTGCTCTCTCAGAGATGGAAGAATGTAAGTGGTGGGGGAAAACATTTTAAAGCAGTTCAGTACCTTTAAAGTGGAATTAGTAGTGAACAGTAGGACTTGGAAATTGGCAGGTGGGACTTGCTAGGACTTATATAGAATCTGCCATCAGCAGATAATTGAACTGATACCAAAATATTTGTTTAGGAAGGGGAGGGTTAAGGTTTATCCCGCTTTAATAAGCTCCAGTTTTTGTCAAATCTGCAAAGAGCAAGGAACACTAAAGGACTTTTGGCTTAACTGGCCACAGCTTGTTTCTTTTGTAATTAATCTAGAGGCCAATTTAACACCAGCTTGTTGATCCTAGGGATATGACACCTTTATAAATGTTAGAAGAAATTACAACAACAACAACAATAATAGACTCTGACAAAGACTCTGGCACAAACCAGTAAAGGTGGTCCCAGTGGTGATCGGCACACTGGGTGCAGTGCCTAAAGATCTTGGCCTGCACTTAAACACAATCAGCACTGACAAGATTACCATACCATTTGCCAGCTGCAAAAGGCTACCTTACTGGGATCTGCACGCATTATTCGATACATCCCACAGTCCTAGACACTTGGGAAGTGTCCTACGTGTGATCCAATACAACAGCCAGCAGAGTGTCTGCTGTGGACTCATCTTGTTGTGTTTCTAATAATAATGATAATAATAATAATAATAATAATAATAATAATAATAATAATAATACAATGGAGAGCAGAAGAGAAAACTGGAAAAAGAAAGCTCTCCATGAACAGTTTCTGGAAAAAACTGAGAGAAAAATTGACAAGGAAAACATATGGATGTGGCTCACAAATAGCACTTTGAAAAAGGAGATGAAGGGCCTGATTTTTGAAGCCCCAGAACAAGTCATTAGAACCAGTGCCATCAAAGCCAAAACTGAAAAGCCAAATGTGGACTCTGCAAGGAAGCATACAAAACAATGTATCACATACTGAGCTGCTGCAAGAAGATTGCGCAGACAGACTAGAAGCAGAGGCAAAATACTGTTGCTCAGATGATCCACTGGAACCTGTGCCACAAATACCATCTGCCTGCAACAAAAACTGGTGGGATCACAAGCCTGAAAAAGTTACACAAAATGAACATGTCAAACTACGCTGGGACTTCCAGATTCAGACTGACAGAGTTTTGGAGCACAATACTAATCCTAGTTGAAATGAACTCATTGAATCGACATTTTTGTAAATTTAATAAGTCAACACTTCTATAAACCCTATTGAGTCAATAATCTGCTGTATTTGGAACTAGCAGTGGCCTTCAGCCCAGTGTGTTCAAAATACTGCCTTCTCCTTGTAGTGTACATACTTAAGTGTCGTCAAAGCAATGGAAATAATGGATGGCACACCACTGTATAACCAGCACAAGTCACTTTGCTACAGGAAGAATGCTGTTGGGCTTGCATTTTGGAAGTGATGGTTTGGATTTGGCTAATGTGCCAAACAAACCAACTAGAGTAGCTACTGAAATCAAAAAGCCAGACTGACCTCTTGAATAAGATCACTCGCTGCTACAAAAGAAGCATGCAGGGTCCCAAGTAAATAATGCTCAAATGTATTCTGTCCCTTAGCCTTTCTTGTATTTGTGGACATTTCTGCATTTTAACTCTGATTCCTTTTGTTTTTCCCTTCTTGTGAAATGTTATGATGCTCAGCCATGTCTTCAGTGTTATCAGAAGGTGACAATCTAAGGATTGCAGCAGCCAGTGTGGTTCAGCCCAAAGAAGAGTGGATTCCAGCTTCTGAAATCAATTTTGTAAGTACTAATAGTGGGTGAAGGAGGTAAAATACAGCTGAGTGGGACAGTTCGGTATTCCCTGTCCCATGGAAGGAATGTGCTGCTCCAGTTATGGAGGAAGGATGCTTTAAGGGAAAAAGCAGAATATGGGGGCACAATCCTGTCCCTTTTGATCCACTCTTATGAATGGTGTCTTATCTTCTGCCCAGCCTTTAAGGTTGGAGAACACTTGCAAGCATAATTAATAAAGAGCTGGCATATGTGAATGGCTTTCCACCTTTTAGCTACCAATGTATTTTTGCAAGAACGAACACAAGTATAAGATGTGTAGTAGTGTCCATGGTCTTGGTATTGGCATGGCGTTTAGTTAAGAACAGGAATGAAAGAATGATTCTGCAACTCAAACATTTTCTTTTAGACTGCGGGAGACTTAGTGGAGTCTGACCAGCTTTGTGAAACCATTCTAGAAGAGAGGGTGAGTCAGTTAACTCTTTGTACAAAATTTAAGCTAATTCTAAATGTACGTAAAACCCTAACCCTAAGCCCTTACTCTTGCTTCCGCCTTAGGATAATGCTGTCTTTGAACAGAAGGTTATGAAGAGAAAACTCAAAAATTTGGAGATGGAGAATGATCAGCTGCGATATGAGCTTAGGGAACTGAAGGAAAAACAGTCAAATGAGGAGTTTGAAGCTCTTGAAAATGAGACTGCAAAAGAACATGAGGTAGGTATGTGTAAGTAATATAGTACTTTTATACCAGGACTTTTAAAACTTTTCCACTCGTGACCCCTTTTCTCCTGAATTTTTTTCATTTATTATTTATTTATTTGCTGTATTTGTATACCGCCTTTCTCAGCCAATTGGCGACTCAAAGCGGTTTCCAACAAATCAGTATACATAAAACGTAATAGATAAAAAACATTAAACAGTATAAGAACATCACAAAAACAATAACAGCAACATGGCCCCAGGTTTGTAACTATATAAAATATGTTTAGAAATCAAACGTTTACTGTTTCAAAATCATCATGTGCAGGGTTTGCTAAAGGCTGATTTCCCCTTTTTTGAAGTACAGCTGAAGCATCTTCTACAGAGTCCACTGTAATACAGCACAACAGATTGATACAAATGTCTAAAATGGCCACTAGGTGGCATTCAGAAAACTTTTTTGGGACCTCAAATGGTGCAGTGGGGATCCCATTTGGGGTTGGAGTTGGATTTCAACCCCACACTGCCCCAGTTTGCAGTCCTCTATGTTAGTTAGTTAGCTTGGGAATAGGCTGAGGGAATCCCTTCCCCCATCTCCTGAATATCAGTTAAAATGTATCTATTTGTAATGGCTTTCATGGCCAGAATCACTGGGTTGTTGTAGGTTTTTTCGGGCTATATGGCCATGGTCTAGAGGCATTCTCTCCTGACGTTTCACCTGCATCTATGGCAAGCATCCTCAGAGGTAGTGAGGTCTGTTGGAACTAGGAAAAAGGGTTTATATATCTGTGGAATGACCAGGGTGAGACAAAGACTCTTGTCTGCTGGAGCTAGGTGTGAATGTTTCAGCTGACCACCTTGATTAGCATATAATGACCTGACATTGCCTAGAGCAAACTTTTGTTGAGAGGTGATTAATGTCCTTGTTTGTTTCCTCTCTGTTGTTGTGCTGTTGTAATTTTAGAGTTTTTTAATACTGGTAGCCAGATTTTGTTCATTTTCATGTTTTCCTCCTTTCTGTTGAAATTGTCCACATGCTTGTGTATTTCAATGGCTTCTCTGTGTAGTCTGACATGGTGGTCGTGAGAGTGGTCCAGCATTTCTGTGTTCTCAAATAAAATGCTGTGTCCAGGTTGGTTCATCAGGTGCTCTGCTATGGCTGATTTCTCTATCTATTATCTATTTGTTCTCCCCTCTCTCTTTCTGCTCTCATTCTGATTAGCTATGTAGAATGGATGCTGTGTAGAATTGATACCTCCCTCTGTGTGTGTCAGGAGTGATGTAGTGCTTGGAAATTTTTCCCTCTCATTTAAACCAAAGAAGAGATGGAGATGGAGTAGCTCAGACCCAGTTCTTTACTATTAAGAAATGTAGTTATTATTGTTGTAAATAAACCTTTTGTTATTTTAAAATTTGAACCCTGCATCTTTGCCTCCTGAGCTCTAAATTCTTTTCCAGCCACAGCACTTTGCTTTGAGCTGAATGCTCAGCCATAAGTATGCTGTTTGTATTTTGGGTGCTCTGCTGTATTTTTGGGAGTTTTCCCTAACAGTTGCGACCCAAACTTTAAGAAGCCCTGTTCTCTACCACCTTTTGTTTTGCAACTTCCATGTCAACTGACTAATTATTACATATATGCCCGTATATACTCGAGTATAAGCCGAGGCACCTGATTTTACCACAAAAACTGGGAAACTTATTGACTCAAGTATTAACAGAAGGTGGGAAATTCAGCAGCTACTGGTAGATTTCAAAGTAAAAATAGATCCCAATAAAATTACATTAATTGAGGCATCAGTAGTTCAATGTTTTTGAATGTTTACATAAAACGGTATTTTAAGATAAAACTGTCCAGTTCTGATTAAACCATTATTCTAACATTTTTCAATATAAATGTGCTTACGTATCCTTCCAATAATAATGTGTAAAATAATAAATGTAATAATAATAGATTAAAATAATGTAATAATAATCAATAGAATAAAATAATAAATGCAATAAAATAATAATAGAGCAAAATAATGTAAATGCAATAATAATAGAGTAAAATAATAAATGCAACAACAATAACAACAACAACAGAGTAAAAAGGGGGCTGAAAAACTTGGCTTATACTTGACTACATATGGTATATATAAACTGCTTAGAGCAAAAACAAATAAATCCAGAAATGTTTATAAAGTGTTTATAAAATATCACCAAATGTTAGCAATAAATTAGAATATGTGAGTGAATAAAAGGGGAACAGACATAGGAATTGGAACAACTACACAATAAGACTGGACAATTTTTTTAAAATTGAGGATTTATTGATTTATGTTTTATTGTTATTGTTATTATTTTATGGATATTAATGCTTTTTATATTGTACTTGTGTTTCTATGGTATTCAGTTTTGCCTTGTAAACCACCTCAAGTCGCCAGAAGGCTGAGAGGGGTGGTATACAAATACAGTAAATAAATAAGTAAACAACTACAGGGAAGCTCTTTTTCTACTCACAAAGTATTATCGGATTGAAGCAAAGACAAAGAGATGGAAACATCTTGCATGACTAACTTAGCATTATGGGAGAAGGTGGTAATAAAAAAACTTGGTCTCGCGCTGTGTAGGGTCTAATAGGTGAGCATCAGCACTAAGTACAGTTGTTTCAGAACTAGTGAGATGGCTTACTTCATACACATCTTTCAACAGTCTACATAGGCTGTCCCATTGTAGTCTCAAACCATCAATTGTGATAGCATGTATTGCTGTGAATATACCTCTGTGAAAAAGGTACTATGGAAGATATGTACCTTCCTGAAGAAAATGCACATCATGATATACCAGCCTCAGCTAGTGAAAATTTCACAAAACAAGGTTTGTTGTGACAAAAACAGATGATGTGTCTTCCAGCAGTGGGTAACTACTTAAGAATTCACAAAAAGTATAGGTCCTTTTTTTCTTTTTTTTCCTACAGAGATTTCTAAAATATGTTTTGAGACAATTTGTGTGTACAACAGTTTGTTAAAAGGAAAACTCTTAGCAATATGTCCTCAAATGCACTTTAATATTGATTTAGGATTGTCTGTGCGCTCTCATCTTTCTCTGAAAACCCTATTCTAGTTTACCCTACCTTGTTCATGCCCAGCATTTTAAATTTTAATTATTACATTTGGCCTGGCCATAGGTTTCAAATACTGTATGTTATTGTTATTGTTTATTGCTTATTGTGTATTTTTTGTTTTTGAATTTATTTTAACTGTTTTGTACTGATTATTTGTTATCGCCTTTGTTTATTGATGTGCTGTGGGCTTGGCCTCATGTAAGCCGCACCGAATCCCTTGGGGAAATGGTAGCGGGGTATAAATAAAGTTTTATTATATTATTATTAAAAGATCAGAACATTGCATGTCAACTTTTAAATTCTAAACCCTTCACCAGCTACAAGTAAAGCAAACATCTAGCTTAATAAAGAGTTTGGTAGAATGCAGGAGTTTTCCCATTATTTTGGATTGAATCTGTATGTAATACACTAATATATAGTTTGAAAACTATCATCTACTATTTTGAATTCTATCATAAAAGAAACATAAGGTAGAAATGCATTCAGCTCGTGCACCTGGCACATCATGGCAATTGTACTAGTATAATTTTGATTGTTAATAATGTTTTCTGCACAATGTTTGAATCCTTTCCTTGATATTTTAAAGGTCTGAGAAGTTAAAAAAATGTATTGATAACCAGGTGTTGGGACTTGCATTTCTTAGGGCTATTGAGGGGTCTGTGCTGTAAGAAATGGATAATCCCAATGTGCAGCTGCAGTAACAATTGGGTTATTATCCACCCTGCTTGCTTTTGTGGTGGCTGGTGGAAGGTAAACTAGGCTGAAAGGCGCTTCTAATTTGCTTGTACTGTTTTGCTTCGATTGCTCCACAGATGCAACTAATGCATGAAATTTCCGCCTTAGAGTCTAGAATTCAAAATGCAGAAGTTTACAATCAAGAACTTCAGGTGAGCCGGTGGTGGTTATTAAGGTGGCAGACTTGCATGTAGTAAAACTGGATACTGATAGGGATTGGTATCAATTTCAGCCAATCTTCTTTAGCCAGATCTTCTACTTTGTGTAATAGTGCCTACTACCCATTCCTATGGCAAACTGGACAACGTACCTAAAAACAGCACTATACACTTGCGTTCTTTCACCTTTCTTTGTAGGAGGAAATAAAGTCAAAAGAATTGCAGCTGAAGGAGCAGGAGAGTAAAATAAAAGTATTAGAGAACAAAGTGGCTGAGCAAAGAAATCTCATGGCAGACTTAAATGCTCAGAATGAAAACGGAGACATGTCCACCTCAATAGTAAGCACAAATAATTCTTATCTGCAGGATGACCTTTTAAAAACCTGTTTCTCTGCTCTGTCCTTTCTAAATCGCTTCTGAGAAGGGACTGCAGAGGAAAAGGGAACAATATGGCAGTCATACAGAGTTTTGGATCGCCAGGGGTGGTATTATCATATTTGTCATAAGTTTTTATTTTCTGTTTGGTATCAAAAAATGTCCAACGTATGGGGGGCCTTGTATAGCTTTGGGGGTTGGAGGGAATACTTCAGGGACCACAAAAGTGGAATCCAGGGACTATAAACATGGATGAGAGAGCCCACAGTTCTCCCATCCATGTTGTAAACAAACCTTGTGTGATTTTGCATACCATTTTTTTTAGGTCTTCCACGTTCATCCACACTGTAGAAATAATGCAGTTTGATACCATTTCAGTTACCATGGCTCAGTGCTGGGCAATCCTTGGATTTTTTTAGTTTGGTGAAACAGCAGCACTGTTTTGGCTAATGGGTTTTTAGTACACTAGATACCAAAACACACTGGCCTTTTTAAAAGTTAATATTTGGGGGATTTAAAACTGTTCTCAGTTACAGTGATATAAACTCCATTAGTTCTACAATGTAGATGCATCCTTGAATACTTTGTGTATAACATCTTTCTAATTTTAGCAACAGATATCAAACAAAGGGATGGATGAAATGCAGCAAGTGAAACAGTCTCTCAGTGATGCTGAAACTGTTTTACTAGATGCTAAGAGAGAATCTGCATTCCTCAGGAGTGAGAACATATCACTAAAGGAAAAAACAGTAAGGATTTTGTTTTGGAGGGATTTTTTTTAAATAGCATCTGTGTGTGCCCATTATATACCCCAACTATAAAGCCTTGCATTGGTTTTAGGAAGAAGTGGTTATTTAAGGTCAGATTGATATGATGTTTATATGTTGGTTTAACAGTATGTAATGTAGCACAGCTGGTTAATCACTATCAGCAATAGATCACACCAGTCGAAAGGTTGGTAGTTTGAGGCCCGGGTTGAGGTGAGCACCCAACCTTCGGCCCAGCTCACTGTCCACCTAAGCAGTTCAAAAACATCTATGAGCTGTGAGTAGAGAAATTAGGTACCGCTTAAGTGGAGAGGTTTTATTTTATTGCACGATAAAAAGGATATACCAGAAAAATGCCAGCGATCAAAGGAAGGAGGAAGTCTGTGATCAAGGGCTCTTCCCCATAGAGGATGGAGCAACAGCACCCCCTGTGGTCAGAATCGAGCACAACCTCCAGGACACCGAAGCAAGGAAAAATGCGGACATAATATCTCTATCTGTTGTCTGCCCTGTCTATTTAACAACATTGAATGTTTGCTGTGTATGTGTTCTGTGATCCACCCTGAGTCCCCTTTTGTGGTGAAAAGGGCAGAATATTAATGCTATAAATAAATGCAACCATTCAAAGAGACAAAATAGAATAACTGTTACAAATATATTATTATTATTATTATTATTATTTTGCTTTCCAAGAATCTAAGGTTTTGTTATGAGTAGAGTTGTTTGCAGTGGCAACTGTTGGTGAAAGGGCCTGAGGGTTGTGGTCCAAAAATAAAATTGTCATCCTCTGGAAGAAGAATGGTACTAACTGCTTCATCAGTGTAGTACCTTACATGATTGACTGACACAGCACTGTGCATTGTATAACAGTATGTTGCCTCATTCCCATGTAGGCACAGCTCTTGGAGACTAGCAGCCAAATGGAAAAAGACTTTGAGTGTTGCAGAAGACAGTTAGAAGCTGGGAAAGTCATGTACAAAAGAATGCAGACTGACTTGCAGAAAGAACTTCAATATTACTTCCAAGAGAACGCAAAGCTGTTGTCACTTTTGGAGGATAAAGTTCCCAAAGGTACTGCTGAACAAGAAGGGCTTGCTTCATCCACTTACTGTAGTTGAGCTAAACCTCTAATAACTAAGGAAAACTATGACTTTAAAGGCCTAGCACACACACACACTTGCACCTGGAATAGCTTGCTTCAAGTGGTTAACTTGTAGTTCTCTAAATGTTGTTGCATTGCAACTTATACCTGACCAAACCAGTTGTAGGAGATGCAGCTTGCAGTCTAACAACATCTAGTTGACCACATGGATAGCCTAAAGTATATGAGAGGATACACTCCTCTTAATGTTCCCCCAGCAACAGCAAAAGCATCCCTCTGGGCAGCTAAACCAGGAAACCCCAAATGGATGCCCCCCCCCCCCCCAGGGTCTGCCTCCAACAGCAAAGTAAGAATGGGCAACTTGGAAGTCCCTGAACAGACTCAGAAGTGGAGTGGGCAGAGCAAAAGACAACCTGGCAAAATAGCACTACTAGAAGAATCCTCCATCTTGTGCAACTGTAGCAGAACAAACAACTCCACATATGTATGCTTGTCCACAATGCCCTGCCTCATGCACAGGTGAAGAATTGTTTAAAGCTACAGACAATGTGGTCTCTGTTGCCCGTTTTTGGTCAAAAAATGTTTAACCACTTGTGTTCCCTCTATTTTTATCAGTCTTATACTTATTTATGCAATGCTTTTGACACAAAATAAATAAAACTTTGGGACTGCCTGTATAGAAAAGGAAATAATCCTATGGTCTCCCATATATAAAATGGCAATGCCAAAGTTTACCTTTTGGGATTAAAAAAATGCACATGGTGGAGGGACTGCTGTTCATTTTACTATCGCCTTCCTCCTTTCCAATTCACATAAGAAACAGAAAGAAGCAATTCATGGAAGTATGGGTAAGCAACCTTTGACTCTCCAACTAACTATGATTCCCACCAGTGATTAGTAGTATCAAGGTCTTTGACAGTTGATAAGTAGGAATTGTGTGTGAGAGTAAAGCTTGCAACAGAATTGTTAGGAATATCTTTGTAGGTTGTATCCATTGAGAGCGGTTTTTCTCTCTCTCCCCCTAGACCTGCTATCCCGTATAGAATTGGAAAGAAAAACTGAAGATTTGAAAAATGAACTGAATAAAACTCAAGAACAAAATACTGATTTAAGGAAAGAAGTAACCAAGCTCTCAGAGGCTGACTCAGGACATGACCTTGAAATCTTGCAGAAAGAGGTATCAAATGTAACGTTCGTGATCTGAAACTGTTTTCAGGCGACGTTTTCAACAGCCATGGTTTCTAAAAATGTTCTCTCTCCTTATTGTTATAATTCTTCCTCTGTTTATCTTAACTCTCCACTGTAACAGCTGGAGAACTGGGTTGCAGCCCTTCTGCTAGGGATGTGTAATTTTGGAGGGTTCTGAGATTAGTCTTTTTTGGCCAGGAATTTCTAAGAGGCCACACAAACCTCCCAAAATGTCAGAAAATGTTTTTAATGGAAAAACCAGAGGTGGCTGGAAGCACTTTTCTGTTTCTGAAAATGATGTATTGTTGGCATTAACATAGTGATGGGGAAGGGGCTTGTGATTGGTTTATAAGGTGCCTCACCATTTCTGGGCATTAACCCCAAATAGGTAATTTGCACATTTTTGCTTGAAAAAAGGGCAGTCATGGGAAAGTACTAGGGCTGCACTTGGGAAGACATCTGCACAACTCTAGAACTGTACTTCAGGCAATGTCTGAATTATGTTGGAATGATTACGGAATAATAATAATAATAATAATAATAATAATGACAATTTTATTTATATCCCACCATCATCTCCCCAAAGGGTGGCTTACAAAGCACTCTAGGGTGCAGATATAACATACAACTGGTAAAAACAGTGCACAAGTATAAAACAAGTCACATAAAATTATAACAGCAACCCGTGGCTTAACCTGCTGCACCACCGGTGGCTCATAGTCCAATTTTAGTTTAGTTTAAAACCAAGCCCATTTTTCACCCAGCCAGAATGCCTCTGATGACACACAGTTAAGATCAATAATAGCCATGCTTCTGCTCCGTCTTGAATACATTTCTTCCAATTGCAGATTCTTGAAAAATCTGAGATAATTGCTTCACTGTCCTGCGAAAGAGAAGGGTTGCTTTCCCAAGTAGCTGAAAAGGACCGGCTGCTCCAGGAAGCGACTGATGCATTAAAATCTGAAAAGGATTTTGCAAATGCTGAAGTGATGACAGAAGAGGATGTGGCTTTTCAAGAACTGAAGCATCAGCATGATGAATTAAGTCAAAAATTTATAATTGCATCAGAAGAGAGCAGACAGATGAAAGGCAAAGTGGATCTTCTATCTGGTGAAAATCTTGAACTGAACAAAGCTGTTAGCAATCTAACCCAAGAAGTAAGTACTTTTTTCAAATATATATATACCAGTCTTTAGCTAATGCCATGCCATTAGTGCCTATTTGTATGTATGTATGTA